AAGAATAAGTGAAGCAATATATAAAATTTAACAAACCATTCTTATAAAATAGAGATCATTTTTGAAGCTTTTCTGTAAAACAGAAATAAAAATGCGTATTTTTTATCTCAGCGAGTCTTTTTTTCTGGTCAAATAAAGGTAATATTACAATATATATTTACTTAAATATTTAAAATAATACATTTCTCAAATACTGAAATTTTTTTTTGTGCAAAATATTGATGGAAATATATAACCTCACTAAACCTTAAATATTGTATCAGCATAATCTTATTTAAAAAACAAACAGACAAAAGAGTGAAGCTTCTCTCTCTCTCACACACACACACAAAATAGAGACAATGTTTCTGCTTTTTTGTAAAATCCATATTTATTTATGATTTACAAAAGCCTATGTAACAACCATTAAAATGAATCAAATGAATTCGTCTTTAACCTAAAATGAAAACATGACTGTGCGTGTTTATGTGTCAGTTTATGTTTCTCAAAGTGGCAAAAAAGGAAGGATGTTGACATTACCCTTACGCATAATTTGATTTACGAAGTCTCTGTTCTCTGGAAAATTATTTACACAGGCGCCAACAGGTCTAGACTATGAATGAAAAGATGCAGGTGCTTCAAACTGAAGAGACTCGACCGGATCCTCCATTTAAATAAACATCTGCAATACTGTGGGCTGAGGGAAGCAGTTTAATGCACAACCAAACAGCGGATAGTGGCCTATTGTGTTTAAATCTCACGTCTGTCACTCATTCATCAAATTTAACCTGCAGATTCTATCCTGACAAACAAATCTGTCACTATGTCAAGAAGGTTCAAATAAATACCTGCTAATCAAAAGGCTCCTGCATCTCATTTCTACAAACCTCTTTATTTAAATCATATCTTTTTAACATTATACTACCATCACACTTTGCTTCATCAACATCAGCTGGCTACTGTGTCACATCGTCCGTTTCATTTAAACACAAAAACGCCTAAACATTTGATAAACGCGGTAAACCTCAGCGCTCTTACGGAATGACAGACTTGCAGACGGTGCAGTAAAATAATCAAGAAAAATGACTACATTCTCAAAGGAAATTCACAAATGGTGCTAACAAGGTTATGAGAGCTCATTTCTGAGCAAAATTCTTTTAATGAAGACACGAGATTGGCAGAAAGGTGCCCGTGTATCAGTGAACGCGGAAGAACCAGCTGGAAAAATAAAAATAATAAACAGTGTCACAAAAAAAAAAAACGTGAGCCTCCTATATAAGTTTCGTTCACGCGCTACTATTGAGCTGTTCAATAATATTCGAGGACCAATGGGGGCCACTGTTATGTACTCAGAGCTGTTTACATTGGTCTATTATATCGGCACTTACTTTCAAAAGAAAAATAGTGGAAAGATGTAGAATAAAATAACACCATAAAATATCCCACATTACTGCCTATTCAAAAAAATTAAATGAGCATGTGTCATTTTCTGAATAACATTTCACAAACAAAAATATACCCCCTTCATGTCATTTCAGTTTTCTTATTAATATAATTAAAACAATTTACAGTGCTTTATTATAATATATCTTTCGAGAGAATTTAGGAATATCGTCTCTTATTGCAGCTAAATGATACTTAATCGTCCAGTTATTCAATAAAACCCAAAAAGAACATTTGGAAGTGACTGGGAAGCCACAGCTGGATGTGTTTTATGCGTTTTTTTCTCCAGGGATGGCTCACGTATTGGCAATTAGTCCTACTAGGGCTCTTCACTACTGCTTTATGTTCAGTTCGTTCTCCAGTTCCATGAGCTTTCGGGACGCTTTCACTTTATTCGACACTTCCTTTCCCTGTGAGAAGAGTCTCTGGCGCTCCTTAAATGTCAGGCTCTCTGGAGCTCCTCCTATTGTGTTCTCCTGATCGGGGCCGCTGCAATTGAACAATCACATTTGTTAGTAAATGCAGTATTCATAAAATAATTCACCTGAAAAATGAAAATGCAATCATTTACCCATCCTGATAGGGATCAAACCTGACAGGTTTGGAACAACATGAAGGTCAGTAAATGATGACAGAAGTTTCTTTTTTGAGTGAACTACCGTTTAACTTAGTCAACAAACGTGTAAACCTAAAGCACAGATAAATGTCCTAAGTAGACGGGTTCTTCTATATGTTTGGGTGGTTCTTCTACCACACCCAAAGCTGTGAGCTCAAGAGTTTGATGAAGGGATAATGATGTTTGTGGAAGCGCTTACTGAAAAACACCATAGCTTCAAGTCCAACCCAAGCATGACATCTTTAGTTTATATGCATCACATAAGCACAAACATTTTGGGTTTCAAGACACATTCCAGGTGCATGAGTGTGTTCCTCACCTTTTCGTCCACTTCTCTCGCGGGTCCTTGTAAATCTCTCCCGATCCTAGTCCTGTTGTGTTTCCAGTGTATGAATTAAATCCTGTTTTAATTTTGTCAAATGGTAAAAACAACGTGAATTTCACAAGAAACATCAATGTAATTTCAAGAGCGATTAGCAAGATAATTGCAAAAGCTGCTGGGCACATAATGGTGAACTGCATGTATATAAATATATTTAAATTACATTTAAAGTTTTTATATACAGTGGGTACGGAAAGTATTCAGACCCCCTTAAATTTTTCACTCTTTGTTATATTGCAGCCATTTGCTAAAATCATTTAAGTTAATTTTTTTTCCTCATTAATGTACACACAGCACCCCATATTGACAGAAAAACACAGAATTGTTGACATCTTTGCAGATTTATTAAAAAAGAAAAACAGAAATATCACATGGTCCTAAGTATTCAGACACTTTGCTGTGACACTCATATATTTAAATCAGGTGCTGCCCATTTCTTCTGATCATCCTTGAGATGGATCTACACCTTCATTTGAGTCCAGCTATGTTTGATTATACTGATTGGACTTGATTAGGAAAGCCACACACCTGTCTATATAAGACCTTACAGCTCACAGTGCATGTCAGAGCAAATGAGAATCATGAGGTCAAAGGAACTGCCTGAAGAGCTCAGAGACAGAATTGGGGCAAGGCACAGATCTGGCCAAGGTTACAAAAAAAAATTCTGCTGCACTTAAGGTTCCTAAGAGCACAGTAGCCTCCATAATCCTTAAATGGAAGACATTTGGGACGACCAGAACCCTTCCTAGAGCTGGCCGTCCGGCCAAACTGAGCTATCGGGGGAGAAGAGCCTTGGTGAGAGAGGTAAAGAAGAACCCAAAGATCACTGTGGCTTTGTAACTAAAATTATTTAAAAATAATTTGTATTCATTTAAATCAATTAAATGACATTATATAAATATTACATGGAAAAACTTAAACTTAACTTAAAAAAACTGAAATGTTGCCTTGGCAAGTAACTGAAATAAAATAAGTTTAATTACTGAAATTAAAACTAAAATAGAAAAAAGCTAAACAGAATAATTAAAAACAAACAAAAAAACTAATAAAAAATTCTAAACAAATAATAATTTGTCAACCGAGTGCTTTTGTCTTTTAATTAGTTTTTATTGTTTTTAAATATTACTGTTTAGCTTTGTTTTTATATTAGTTTTAATTAGAGTAATTTTAGTACTCAATAAAAAAACTTTTTTTTATTACAGTTACTTGCCAAGGTAACATTTCTCATTAAAAAAAAAAAAGGTTTTCCAAGTAATATTTATTTTATTGCAGCTTTATTTAAATTACAACTTAATTTCAAATTGATTTTCAATTGTTTTAGTTACCAATAACATTAATAATGATAATAATTTAAGAACATAATTTACATTTCTATATAAATATACAGTACATAATTTAAGTTGACTTTAAAACCCTACATCCCCATAGAATAGACACTTAAATCTGTTCAACGTGCAGTTTAACCATACTGTTGGCCCAGCAACTTCTGTTTTCAATAGGACTCCACAGACCAGAAGCTGAACAGCGAGAAGAAAGCTGGTTTAGTTAGTGTTAAAGCATTCCAAAGCACACCTGACACGAGGTCTGTGGATCGCAGGTCAAAGGTGGAGGTCAAGCACCAGCTGCTTCTAAACTTGTTTCATGTTGAGGAACGTCTGTAAGCGAGACGCTTCCCAACCCTGCACAACTGGCCTGTACGGCAACCCCCACCACTGACCTAGTGTAGGAATCGTCTGTGAGGCTCACGTGTCTTGTGTCTGTCAGGGCGAAGGGACGGTCCGCACTGAACCACAGAACGGAAGTTTGTTTCTAACCAATGGGGTGCAAGAGCACCGCCGCAATCCAAATGCATGTTTGACGGTTTCATTCACTGACTGATAATGGAATGAGTTTGGGCCGGAGAAAGACACAAACACATTGACTTGTGAACCAAAAAAAAACCTTCTCCACTGGTGACAACCAAGTACATCAAGAGCAAAACAGGACAGCTGGTGGTTTAGCCTAAAACAAGCAGCCAAAGAAAGAAAAGGCCCAATTAGAGGCAAAAGGTTTTGTTTCTGAGGCCAAATGTGACCCGGGACCATCTGAAAGCTGAATAAATAAGCTTTCCATTGATGTATGGTTTGTTAGGATCGGACAATTTTTATACTGTGGTTTTGAATTCAACACAAAATATGAAGCAAAAGTCTGTATTTGTTTGTATGTTTGAATCGAGCTGTTCAGGCTGTATTCATAAAACCTGGAAGAGAATGACCACTGATTCCCTCAAGAACATTTAAGGTTTTTTTTTAATGGCGGTTTTTGATTTATGAGCAAACTAAGATCTGTGGTTCACATTACTTTGAGACTTTCCTGTTTTTTTTTCTATTAAAAATTACACAGACCTCAAAAATGAGATTTGAAACCATTCTGTGCTACAGAAATTCAAGTTCTGACATAAGGACTTACAATGATTCACAATTTTATAGTATAGTCCTTCATAAACTCAGAAAAATTTGCAAAAATTGTACCTTTAAGGGTACAACAGCTTGTTGAAATTTGCTGAAATTGAAATGTGTTTTACCTTAAAGGTACAAAATGTCAATTTTTACTTTTGTAAAAAAATAAAAATTAACAGTAAAAAGTTATTTATTATTTTCACAAAGTAATGTTGATCAAATACCTTACTTTACTCATAAATCAAAAAATGCTTTCTAAAAACCCATTAAAAATTTGCATGGCAACTCAATAAAGCAGGAAATGAACATTAAAGGCTGAAAGTCTACAGCTTGTGATCCTTTTTGCTCAGAGACTTGGTGGTTCCAGTAGGTCGATGCACCTCCTCGGAGAAGGTGATGGGAGGGGCTGTGGAATCCCATGATTCCATGCAGCCCGACGTGAGAGGAAGCAGGGGAGGGTGGGTGGAGCCAAGCAAATGATGATGCCAAACACATATAAAGACAGCAGACAGACAGAAGATAAAGAGTGAGAACTACAACACAGCTGAAACCAAGCAAAATCAATATTGTCAACACTAAAGCTCAGTTCCATAACCTAGTGAGTTGCCTTTAAGGTGACATTAAGTGAGACGGAACCTCAAAAATGACTGGTTTGAGGTGCTCAACATAGGCAGCATGCTAAGCAAACAATGTGATCTAATACACAACTCATATCATGTATAATTAATCTAGATTGATCTTAATTACTTTTTTTGGAATGAACATTAACATTAACAAACAAAACAATAATAATAATTTATGTATATGTATACTTTAAATATTCTATATTGTTATATAAATAATTTATTATTATTATTATACATGGTTATTATTATTAATTTATAAATATTTTCACTAATTAATGTAATATTTGAATTAACATTTGACAATAAAACTTTTTATTGAATAAATATACATATTATATGTATAAATATATCATTATTATCTAAATGTTGTTTTTATATAATATTTGTCAGTAATTAAGAAATTTTCTATTATTATTATACATATTTTCTATTCTTATTTATTATTGACATTTATCTAGACTTGTGCACTTGTCCTTGGATTACATTCGATACTGCCTGAGAATTTGGCCAAAAAGAACCTGCGGTGATTAACAGTTCCCTAAGTAGGCAGCGTACTAGGTTTTGGAACCGAGTCTAAATGTAAAGACAAAAATCAAAGGGTGTGTATGAAATATCTACAGTGCACTAGACTGGTGTCAACACATCACTAGTGTTTTGCTAAGAGGCTGTTAGATTGAACTGGTTTTGGGTCCATGAGAGGCTTCAGCAGTGTTGCAGACAGGAATGAAGATGTTGATTTGGTAAGAGCAAAGCAAAATTAAGCAAAGCAGCAGCGATTGCAGTGGTTGATTCGTGGCTTGAAAAGCTTCAGTCAGTCTGAGCAGGGAGGAATGCCGTGCTTTTGATTGGTTGATTAATGCAAAGTTAGTTCCTTGGTAAGCGTAAATGCAATTTTGATCACAACAGGCCCCAATGACATTAAATGGGGGGAAGCTTTGTGCAGATTACATGCAAGGTCAGATACACTGGGCATCTTTGTGAAATAGGGTTGAACTGTTACTTTTTTGCACATGACTGTTTCAAAGTTTCACATCTGATATGTTTCATAAGTTACTTTAAAAAATAAGTATGTACAGACAATTGCAAAATCTTAAAGAAAACAAAATATATAAAAGTATGTTTGAAAAGGTTAAACGATGACTTAGTAACTACATTTTTTCTTCAATAATAAACTTTAGAAAGGTAAAGTTGGTGATTAAAATAAAGGAAAATTCATGTAATAAAAATGTTTTATTTAAATAAATTTTATATATATATATATATATATAATATAATTGAATGATAATTAAAATAATGATTTTTTTATTTTATTTTTTTCAATCAATTTCCTTAAGAATACAATGTTTATCGAGGAAGAAATATTGAACAGATATAAAAATTTTATATACAAACATACTTTCAAAACATCTAACTGAACTACATGCACTGATGTAAAATGAAAAAAGAAAAATATATATTTCAGAGTGACTGTCTGCACCAAGATTGCTAAAGGTCTCTGTGCTGCACAACAAATTCAGATAGCTTTTAAACAGTCAAGCACAAAAAAGCGCCTCATCCGACAGATCTTTTCCCCTTTGCCAAGTGTAAACAGGACTGAGGAGAGGTGCAGTGTTGAGCCCACCACTGCAAGTAAGAAGAAGCCAGTGTCTCGTTCCCTGAGCTGATAATGGACGGGCATGCGTCTAGCTGCTGAGGCCCGGCCTACCCCAAAGCAGATCACACACACATGAAACGGCTGGCAACACCAACAGTACTTGGACTGATTTTGGACCGCACAGCGAATCACGAGGTCTACTGACTGCTTGTACGGCTCTAGGATGATTCGAGGAAGAGGAATCGGGGAGAATAGGTGATCGGAAAACAAACAAACAAACAAAAATCTAATTACTAATTAAAAGGAATATTCCAGGTTCAATACAAGTTAAGCTCAATTGACAGCAATTGATGCATAAAATAAGTGATACCTTTTAAAAAATAATAAAAAAAATAAATACATTTTATTAATTGATTACTTAAATGAAGGTTAAAATGTTGTTCTGATGGCTCAAGGCAAAGGTCTGGCAAACTACTAGCTGAACTCAATGTACATAAGGAAGTTATGCCACTTTCCTGGTATTCTTGCATAAACATTTTGCAAAAAAAATGATGTACTATAGTTTATAGGCATTTTACAGCAGTTATGTCATCATGACAAACAAAGTTTGGATATAACTTTAGCCAGACAAGCTCAGTAAGGATTTTTATCACATAAGCCTTATGTTAACACATAAAAAAAAAATTATTTTAACATGTACCTTTCAAAAGTTTGGGGCCTTTAAGGTTTTTATTTAATGTTTTTTAAAGAAGTCTCTTATTTGATTGAAATTACAGCAAAACCAGAAATATTGTAAAATATTATTTAAATGAATTATAATTTAAAATAACGGTTTTCTATTTGAAAAAACGGTTTTCTATTTCTATTTTAAAATGTAATTTATTCCTGGGATGGCAAAGCTGAATTTTCTTCAGCGTCACACGATCCTTCAGAAATCATTCTAATATGATGATTTTGCGCTTAAGAAATATTTTTGATGATCAATGTTGACAACAGTTGAGCTGCTTAGTTGCAAGCCTGCGCTGATGCGAGGCCTGGGTCAAAGCTAACGGTACCCTGGCTAATGGATGCACCAATGTAGTAAAGCTACATTGTAGTAGAAGACATGTGTTTGCTGATATGATGTAATGTGCTTTTGACTGAATCAAGTAGCTAAATCCTGCATGTTGGGGAAAGTAAGCCATTGGTTTTATTTAACACTGCTACACTGCAAGCAAGCAATGTTGTAACCTAGACGTAAATCAACAGTGCTGTCAATACTACAGTACGCTGGTATAATACGCTGGTAGCATAGCGAGCTTTGTTGATTATTATGCGAGTAGTTTCACGAGTTCAATCCACTTTGCAGCTTATTCTGGCCAGGATATGTCAGATGTTTTGTTTTAATGTTCAATTCAGAAGTGAGTTCATCTGAAACAGTCGATAACACAAAAATAGGCTGTTGACCGGAAAATTTTAATTTTTCAAAAAATATTTTTCAAAAAATTAAATCAAAATTGAAATATTAAAAAAAAATACATTTAATGAAACATTTAAAAAATAGAAAGCCAATACAATTTCTAACGTAATTAAATATTTAATTTAGAATCTGAATTAAGTGTCTAAGTGTTTAAACACTTTTGAAAGTCCTTTGAAGATTTAAATCCAGTGATTAATCCTTCTTTATAAATGCAAATTGTATGAATGCAATCTAGTTTAGATGCATTGTGCTGCTTGCTTGCAGTGCAGACACTGTTTAAGACTTGCATTCGATTGTAAGCACACCAGATGGTGCTAAAGAGGAACAAGTCACTACAGCTGACAAATATGCTTGTTTCTAACTGGAATGGAAAGACTGGAGTGTATGTTACTGTTACAAGCTCCAGTTGAAGGTCTGGCTGGCATTTGGTGGTTTAGCTTTAGAGAAAAACACCCAGCGGCTGGCTGCTCTGGTCTCTGTGCATGGATCCCCTGGGTTAGTATTGCGGTGGTGGAAATGTCTCTTATGAGAGCATGTGGAGGCAAAACACACATGAGCTAGTTCAATCTGGGATGGCCTCCACGAAAACCAAGGCGGGCCCATTTCCAACAGCACTTCCAAGCAATGTTGTATGGAATGGCAATGGTCTCCCAACAAAATGCTGGAGTGTTGTGTAAAGATCTGACATGTGACTCTCATGCGTTTCTTAGAAGGGGATGGGGATACATCACAAACACAAGAGAGGAGATGTTGTGAAGACATGCAGTTGGACATCACAAATGGGCTCTAAAATTACCAGTGGTCTGAAAATGGTAACAGACACAAATAAAACTGGATGGTCACATAGTGGGACAATGTTGTGGTCACATTTTTAATTTATGAATGTAAATTCAGACCACTGGTAAACTGATGACCCACTGAGGCATTCCAAAAGTGTAACACATGGGCATTAAACAAACTTAATTTAGCCTCTGACAGTTAACGGATCATTACTAACTCCAGAATTGCTGTTAACCTTATTATTATCAGCAAGTATAGGACTGTATATATACATAGGCACACATTATTTTAAATTAAGCACAAGGGGTTGTGATCTCATACAGTCTGACACATTAAATATCAGCTGCTGTCTCCAATCACACCCACTTACAAGGTCGTGAGGAACCATCCACATGGAAATCAGGCAAAACCTTGAAAAAGCTTAGCGTTAGCATGAATAAACACGGCTGATCACATAGGTCTCCATCAGGAAATTATGCCAAAAATTGATTTATATTGGTACAGAGATTGTTTTGGGAATCTACCCCAAAACAAAAGCAAGAACATCTCACTATAATTAACCTGAATAATCAAAAGCAAGAGATCAGGTCTGAGACATTAAAATCTAACTGCTGTTGTCGTGACTTGCATTTAAAGCCAGGCTGAGTGGGCAAAAAATAAAAAGATAATCTGCATCCCATATAAAGTGTGCTAAAACGTGACTGCAATTTGCATATTACACAAAAACGTATTTCTTGACTATAAGTCCTTTATCATCAAAATCATCTTTATTGCATTTATCTACTTATAGAAAGTTCCTATTTGACGCTGGTCCGCTTCGATCTCAATACCTTCTCCTCGGCCTCTCGTCTGGCTCTCTCCTCCTCTCTCCAGCGTCTCTCCTCCTCCTGTTTGGCTCGCTCTTCTGCCTCACGCTTACGGACTTCCTCCAACTGCTGTTTCCGTCGTCGCTCCTCGTCCTGTAGCTGAGGTGCACAATGCATAATCAGGTTTAGAGGAAAAACACTGGACCAGAGACATGATGGATTAAACTGACTGCAATTCATGGTCCTAAATATAAATGATTGAATTAAACTAAACTGATCCTAAATTAAATTTATGACAGTTAGAAATCTAACCAAGAATTTTGATGTCAATTTTAACCCTAGTTGTAAAACTACTGATAAACTTAAAGTTAAATTTAAAACGAACCTAGAAAAACGTCAACTTGCACTTTCGCTTATAAGTTTTTTAAAAACAAATTAATACTTTTATTCATCAAGGAAGCATTAAATTAATCAAAAGTGACAGTTAAAGACATTTTTTTTAGTGTTACAAAATATTTCTATTTCTATTCTTCAACTAAATGCTGTTCTTTTGAACTTTCTATTCAAAGCATCCTAAAAAAATATATCACTGTTTCGACAAAAATATTAAGCAGCACAACTGTTTTCAACATTGATAATAATAAAAAAATTTCACCAAATCAGCAAATAATTTCTGAATGACAGAATGATTTCTGAAGGATCATGTGACACTGAAAACTGGAGTAATGATGCTGAAAATTCAGCTTTACCATCATAGGAATAAATTACTTTTCAAATTATATTAAAAATTGAAACCAGCCGTTTTAAAATTGCAATAATATTCCACAATATTGATGTTTTTACTGTATTTTTGATTAAATAAATTGTGCCTTGGTGAGCATAAGTAACTTCTTTCAAAAACATTAAAAAAAAAATTACAAACCCCAAACTTTTGAACAGTAGTGTAACACTTAACTTGTATGTAAAATTACAAACCTATATTCAAACCTATCATTAAACACAATATAAAAAAATATAAAAAAAATTAAATGTAATATTAATTTAATGTTTACATTTAAAATGGTAGCCTAGTTTAGACTAGATTAGCAAACAATTTTCAATGGCCAACCTGAACAGGTCCAAAACCTTATTCAAACTATTCTGCTGTGGTGATTTGTATAAAGGTGTTCTGCTGAATTTTTATCACACCAGTAAATTTGTCAATGTGGCCCCTGTGATGAGAGGCATCGTGCACTGCACACCATCACACAGAATCACATGCACATACACAGTTGCATGCAAAACAACTTACTGACAGAATTTCAATGCTTCTTCACTCTTTCAAAACATTCAAAAGGAAATCCAAACACCTCCATCAAACTTCATACACAATACATATACAATGCTCAACAGGTTAGGAAATACAAATCACGGGCCATACACCTTTTCCCTCCAAAATCAGAAGGAAGCGGACATAAACAGAGACCAGTAGTCAGGATAGGGGAAGAGGAAACCCAGCACAGAAAACCATGGAGAAACGCAGAGTAAATGAGCGGCAAAGCATCAGGGTCAATACAGACTCAGAGAGCAGTGATGAGTGGAGTAGATGGAGAACCAGGAATGGTGACCACGGCACGGAAATGAGGCCCACATGCAAGCAAGCTCAGGGCCGGAGAGACCGGGCTGGAAGAAAACATGCGCCAACCCACCCCTCATGATGACACTGCACTGAAACAACGGCTGCCGAAATCAGCAGAGCTTCTTCATGTTCTCCAAAAAAGAAAAAGAGCTTCCAAACTGTTCTTTAGAATGAATTTGGTGGTTTTCTAGGTGCATATGTTCTTGTCTAAGCTACCAGACACAAGGTCGCTGTCCTGTGCACATTTAAAGCTGAAGTGTGTAATTTTTTTGAAGTTAAATGAATAATAAATACAGGCTAAACTCAATCGACAGCATTTGTGGAATAATACTGAGTACCTCTAAAACTTATTTCAACTTGTCCCTCTGTTTCAAAAACCTGGGTTACAGTGAGGCACTTACAATGGAAGTGAATGGGGCATTAAAATGCTCATGGTTTTAATAGTATAGTAAGTATAGTATAAGACAAAAACAATATGAGTGTTAGCATGGTTTTAAAGTGGGAAAAAAAATAATTTAACATTTTCTGTTCATTTATATCCAATTTTACAATTTTGTTACCATGAAAACACAACTCCATGAACCTGAAAATGATCATAAAAATGACAAGAACAGCTTTACACATTTGAGCTGGTGAAGAATTTCCCCATCATTCCACGTCCCCCCCACTGAAGCACTGGCAATATTTTTCCTTCAAACACACAGGATTGTGTTGACCTTCCCTTAGACGGCTCGACCTGCCAACTCCTCAGAGATGGAGCGATATCAAAGCCAGCTTCCAGCAGTGTGCTACACACAGCAGATTCTCAGGTGGACGCTATGCTTCGCATGACAGCTGCTACAGCAGTGTTGGAGGAAAGAACATTAGTGGGGGCTGATGTTTGTGCTAGCGCTGAAAGTCTCACAGACTTGGAAAGCACAAGGAAGCTGTTTGGAAATGCTGCACACATTCCAGCCCACCAAGAAGTCAAGAGCCTGAATTACACTGCAGTAAACTCACGTGTTTTGACATTAGAAGCTCATTACAGGCTGTTTTCTGGACACAGATTAAGCCTTTAGTTACTAAAAGGGCTAGGTGATACATCCAATATTTATTATACATTATAAATTTCTTAGTCTCAGCCTCAGACGTCACGCCCACGGACCGTTGGCTAAATGTCTGATGCATATGGGACACAAAAGTGGAAACACTTCAGGAGTGTCGAAGTCGTCATCGGATTGGTTGAATTCTACAGGATTTCCGGGAGACATGTGTATCGTGTTCTTTAACGTTCCATCTGGAAACGAAGATGCCGTGACGCCAAACCCCCTCACGAAAGAAGAAAGCCGTA